ATAAATGTGTGTGCTATGAAGGGCTCTCTTAGTTCTAACTCTCTAGCTTTGTAAGTGGGATTGAAAGAAGAGCATCTTGTTACAGTTTTTAATTGGTCAGATCCATTACTAAGCCAAGCCCTTTTGTTATTCATTGGATCATAAGTAGGAATAAGTAGGAAACTCATTACTTTCCAGGAATCACAACCAGATTGATTGTTTTTACTTTTATGTTTTGTTTTTAGTTTTATTTTCTGTGTACAGGTGTTTTGGCTTTGTGCATATATGGGCACCATGCACATGCAGTATCTTCAGAGGCCAGAAGAGGGTGTCAGAGGCCCCTGGAACTGGGAGCTGGGATCTGAACCTGAGTCCTCTGCAAGAGCAGCAAATGCTCTTAACTCTGAGATTCTCTTCAGATTCTTAGGCCTTTTGGTCTTGTGACTAAGTGAAACAGATAGTTGTGGCTCTGAAATCCTGTCTGTCTGCCCTATACATTGTTCCTTCGAGCTTTTTGGTATCACACTCCAGTCTTAACCAAGTATTCCCTTACTGTTCCATATATTTTGTCAATAGACTTAATTCCGTAGTTTTGTTGTTTGTGCTTGTTTTGAGATGAGGTCATTTGTTCCAGCCTGTCCTAGAATTTAACAGGTTGCTGAGGGTGACCTTGAGTTTCTGATCCTCCTGCTCCCACCACCTGCATACGAGGGTTACAGGCGTGTTCAACTACTGTCAGCTTTCCATGTTTTCTTCTCCGAACCTATTTTTATTAGTTTTACTTAAAATACAAAATACACACAAAGTTTGGTGGGGTTTGTTTTTTTGTTTTGATTTATGATTAAACATAAGGTCTTAAACCTTAGGCAAGCATTCTGCCCAAATAGCTTAGGCCTCAGACTACTGCCTTTGTAGCACCTTTTGCTTGGGCTGTAACCCTGAGGAAGCTTCAAGTCAGGCAGAGGCCCACAGAGGGCAGCACTGAGAAGGACTCTTCTCCAGTCGCCCTTCCTAGTATGTGCATTGGGGCTCCCAGGCATGTTTTCATCAGACTTCAGGAGTCCCTGATTGAGATCAGAGAATCATTTGAAGCCTAGTTGCTTGTTAGATGACATTTCAGCTGTCCTGAGGACAGCTTTCTAGTTTTCTTGATAATAAAAACAGGCATGAAAATCTATCTCTGCCATTCCTTCTACGAGTCAGTCTGCCTATCCCATCATTTCCAGGCACTATTAGCATTTGAGGTGAAGTTCTGTTATACACTCAGGCTGTGGCTCTGAAAGTCAGTGCATCACAGAACTTTGTCTCGAAAGCTTTCTAGCAGCTGCCCATTTGGGGAGTGAGAGGGAAGAATAGATCTTTTCAATCCTTTGAATATAGTCCGAAGATTGTAGGTCTTTTTTAAGAGTCAGTATTTAATATATTGCAAGGTCAAAGCCTCATCCATTGTCCAGGAAGCTTATTTCTTTGTACCTGGGAGTTATTTATAAACGTGCCCTTTGCAAAACTTGGAGTGAAATTACGTTATCAGTAATGGCTTCTGGAGCCTTTAAACTGGCCGGTTTTGTGACATTAAGGAAATACTCAGTCTTCCCCACTCCTGAAAGGGAAAGGCCATAGGTGACCAGCTACAGTTAGGAGGGCTGACTACTGCAGCAGAGTGATGCCTTCAGGTGACAGTCAGTTTCCTGCTGAAGATCTCAGCTTTCCTTGTTGTGGATCTTCTCACGTTTGAAATGGTCAGACTTTTTGTTATGCCTTTCCTCTTCTTCCAGAACTTCGGTGCCTGAAAGCTCTTTTCTCTTTTGTCCTTTAACCTGTCTTTTGTCTTGCCCAGGAAGACTCAGAGTTTCTGTTTTGAGATCTCTTTGATCATATCTTCTAGGACATCAGTGAAAAGAACCAGGAGCAGAAACCTGGTCTATGTTTTTTCGTCGTTAGCATAGCCATTTAGATGCTTAGACAGTGTTGGCCACAAGAACATTGGCTCTTCCACTTGGCAGGTGGCCATTAGGGATTTTGGCTTGCACTGGATTGGGGATGTGCTCTCTCATTTCTTCCAAGAATGCCAGACTCTGGCTGTAAGAACAGTCATCAGTGCCAGAGTAAGGTTGAGTTTCAACTTGTGGGCAACTAGCCCTCTATGGTTGCTGTGAGTGTGGGTGGCCATTTCCTTCCATTAGAACTTTGTCCACTAAGGACACCATTCCTTTCGCAGGCTCTATTTTGGTACTATAGAACAGAGCCTGCTTTGAGGCGTGATCTTTCTGTGTGGTGCAAGTTGTTAAGAGAACAACTTCTGTTTGTGGCTTTTAGACTATATTGAGAAGACTTCCCTCTGCAGACAGCACAGGCCCCAGCTGCAGAGGAGATGCCCCTGTCCTTTACTCCAGAGAGCAGTGTGACTAGGGTGGGCAGTTTTCACAGTGTCAGAAGAGAGGGTGACCATTCCCAAACATCAGTCTCACTACAAAGTCTGCTTAGATGCAAAATCCAGCTATACTACATCATGTCAAGAGGGTTCTTTTTAAACTTTATTCTCTATTTTGAACAAATATTGAGAGTTTAGAATGTGCCAGGCATTTCTCTGGATAATTGAGATGAAGTAATGAAGAAAACACAAAAATTAATGAATGTTTTGGTTTGTGTCTTTTTGCTTTTTGAGACAGGGCCTCATCAAAAATTACCATCCTTAAAAATTCAAGTCAGAGTGCTGGAGAGATGGCTCAGCAGTTAAGAGCACTGCTGCTCTTCCAGAGGTCCTGAGTTCAATTTCCAGCAACCACATGGTGGCTCACAGCCATCTTTAATGTGATCTGATGTCCTCTACTGGTGTGCTGGTGTACATGCAGACAGAGCACTCATGTACTTCAAATAAATAAAATCTTAAAAAAAAAAAAAAATCAAGTCAGAGCCAGGCACTGTGACACAAGCCTGTAATTCCAGTATTCTGGGAAGCAAAAGCAGGCAGATTGCTATGAGTTTGGGGCCAGCCTGGTCTACAAAGATAATCTAGGACAGCCAAAACTACACAGAGAAACAAACCCTGTGTGTGTGTGTGGGGGGGGGGGGGATGCTGGGTCTTAACGCATTTTCAAAAGACTGGGTTAGTGAGCTGGAGAAATAGGCCAGCAGCTAAGGGTCCTGGCTTCTGCCTGGCATGGTGACACACACTTTCAATCCCAACAGTTAGGGCAGAGTCAGGTGGATCTCTTGAGTTTGAGGCCATTCTGGTCTGCATAGCGAGTTTCAGGACAGCCAGGGCTACACAGAGAAACAAAACACTGACTTTTAAGCTGGGTACGGTGGTGTATAGCTTTAATCACAGCACTGGGGAGGCAGAGGCAGGCGGATATCTGTGAGTTCAAGAATAGCCTGGTTTACAAAGTGAGTTCCAGGACAGCCAAGGGACTCTGTCTCAAACAAACAAAAATAAAAAAATCCATCACTACCACCAACAAAAACCACTGGCTTCCCTTCTAGAGGACCCAGGTTCTATTCCTAGCACCCACATGGCATCTGTAATCCCAGTTTTAGGGTAATCTGACACCCTCTTCTGACCTCCAAGGGCACCAGCCATGCAAAGGGTGCACAAGCAAACATGTAGACAAAACACCCATACACAAAATAGTAATAATAAGTAACTGCTGGCACTCTGGAGGCAGGGGCAGGTGGGTGTTGTGGGCCAGCCTGGGCTACTTGTCAGGAGACCCTATCTCAAATAAGTTAACAAACAAACAAATAAATAAAAGTTGAAAGAAAAGAAGCCTGGGCTAATCTCCACTTCTCTTGAGCTAGGGTTGCTTCTCCATATGGAGCCCCCATCTCTCCTGAAGCCTCAGTTTACCTCTGTTAGGATGCAATTTCTGGATTCTTTGTAGTGATTCTTTCTTCTGCCTCATGACTTTGTTAAACACATGTTTTAAAGATGGGTGAGTTTCCTAAGGCGAGGAGAGCAGAGCAGATAGTACTGCCTTGGCACAAGAAGTATTAGAAAGTGGTATTGGTGAGACCTCAAATAAAGTGAATGACAATAACTCTCACCTTCCTTTTCCCTTCAGAAAGTTGTGAGGATAGAGAGAACACCAGGCTAGGTAGTTTTTCTAAGTCACCTGTTTGCAACTGAAGAAAGGTGTTAAGTGTAACCATTACTAAAGCTGAGCTGGGATGGCTTCATAAGAGTCAACATCAGCAACTCTGTTCTGTTTGGCAGGAGGAGGGGCTGAGGATTAAACCCAGGGCTTCCTGCATACCAGACATGCATTGTAGCTCTGAACCACACCTCCGAGCCCTTGGTGTCATTCTTGATAGTGAAAGAAAACTCCCCTCCTGTTATTTCAGCTACCTCCCAGACCCTGGACATCTCCTATTTTTTTGTTTACTACACTTAAGATTCAGGTGGATCTTTTTTTATTTTTTATTTTTTATATTTTTGTATCTTAGCAAATTAAGTGGTAATGGTTTATATATATCAAGGAAGGATTTCATATGTGGGTTTTTAGATGATGTCTGCCTCAGCTGGTGAGTGTGTATGCGTGCACCTGTGCACCTGTGTGTGTTTATACTCATGAACTCCTGCTTTCTGTGTGGAAGGCTTAGAGTGACTTGCTTTAAGCCTCTGCTTTGGGACTGCAGTGACTTCCAAGGGCATTCAACCCTCTTTCAAATAAGTAGTGCCCGTTCATTAGTGTGGCCACATTCCATGCCTCTGTGTGTGTGTGTGTGTGTGTGTCTGTGTGTCTGTGTGTGTCTGTGTGTCGAGGAGGCTAGGGAGAATGGGTGATTTGGGAAATGACTCAGCCTTAGGACCTTGAAATAAGAGCATGGTAAAGGCCTGTGATTCTGAGACTTTTCCTGGGCCTTTCTTTCCCTGGTGGCGGGGTATTAGACCCATGCTGCAGTATGGGACACACACAAACCCCTGTGTGGCTCTTTGCAGCTCCGTGGGACCAGGGAAGGAAGGGATTAGGCTTGCTACAAGTGGAGCTTTCAGAACTGAAGATGTGTTCATGTTTCTTCAGGAGCCCTCCCTGTACACTGTTAAGGCCATCCTGATTCTGGACAATGATGGAGACCGACTCTTCGCCAAGGTGAGATTTCCTTTGGACAGAAAAAAATGGAGATTTCATTTTTTTTCTTTTCTTTTCTTTCTTTCTTTTCTTTCTTTCTTTCTTTCTTTCTTTCTTTCTTTCTTTCTTTCTTT